AATAAAAATTAAAACAAAAAAATATAAAACAACACTAATTTTTTTTATCTTTTCTACGTTAAATTATTGTTACATTATGTTATGTAAGTTAAGTTTTAGTATCATTTCCCTTCTCCCTCTCTTCCACCACCAATTTACACCTCCACCGTCGTTTATCCTTGAAGGTAAAGTACAAATAAAACTATATTTTTTAAAATCAATTATTATTCTATTATGGTAATTTATACATTTACAACTACAAAACGCATTTTTCAGTGTTTTCCTTACTATAGTTATTTTTTTAATGTACTACTTAGCTTTAATTTGAGTGTGTTTTTCGTGTTGGATGAATTATTTGGTTTTGCATGTAATCGTATGAGGAAAAATGATTCACCTTATGACATTTTCATGATATCTCTCAGTTTCGGAACGGATTAATTTTGTATCCTGAGGTACCACTGTATAGTTATTTTTTACATTGGTTGGCTAATTTATTTTTCATTTTAAGTTTGAATTTATAATGTTTGAAAGTTCCATTTTAACACAATTTTCAAATTCGTTCGGTAGCCAGTCACCGATGATGGCCTATTCCATTAGGTTGAAAACGTTTGTGATTTAATAAATATTCTCAGCATTATAAGGTGTTAGATGTTTTATTAAGTATTTGTTTTATAATATAGGTCAGAGTTGCTCTCCCAAAACCTGCATTACAACTAAAATTGGTAATATTTTCCTTAATGTTTTTGATATCTTGTAGAAATAAATAAATTTTAGAAAATACAGTTTGCACAATACATAAATAGGCATTAAGCATTTTAATTGTTAAATTGATCACTTTCCTGAAACCTGCAGATTCACAGTTGCTCACTACTATGCAACAAGCGAACAAACTCATGCCCTGCAAAGAATCTTCTTTATTTGCCACTTTATTCTGACTTAATATTGAACACAATAAAGTTTATCACTCAATAATTAGATGAATAAATAGTTGATAGAGAATTAATAAATTTAAAAATAACTATAAAATTGAATAAAATTTAATGATGAGATTTGCCAAGTGTCTGAATAAATACAATAATTGATTTGTGTTCGAATTACTAAAAATTACTGGCACGGTTTCAAAAATACAGTGGAACCCCGGTTAACAAACTTAATCCATTCCGCGACTCTGTTCGTTAACTGAAGCAATTTTTCCCACAGAAATTAATGCTAATGCAATTAATCTGTTCTAGTCTCCAAAATTTTTGTGATTTTATTTGTAATATACAGTAGATTTTCTTTGATGAAAATGTAGGAAAATGTAGTATCTATCATTACAGCAACAAACATGTAAACTTTGTTTAATAAACTAGCACTGTACATACCTTCATTTGTTGTAGTTGGTGGCAGAAAAGTGGAGATATACGAACCTTAATGCTTAGAAGGGGAATCGCCTCCAAAAAATAATGGGTAGCACTTCATTGGAAGATTCTTCAAGTCGAAGTCTCTTTTGGTAGGAAAGCCCACCAGTGGCTAAACATTCTCCGTACCCTAAACACGGGGAGTTCGTTCGTGGGTTCGCATTTTGCTCAGACGGGCTGGCCACGTGGAGTTTTCTGGGTTTTCTCCAGTCTGTAACGCCTAAATAGGGGCCAGTTTCCCTTAAAAACACCTCTTAGAAGGCATTCCCCCTAGGCAGATTGCCCAAGTGTTGCGTTGCCATAACTTAACAAACAAACAAACAAACTCTTTCCGTAAGGAACAAGAAATTGATCTAAAGTTGATTGTCTTACTCTTTTAATCAAAATTTTTCTCAAATGCGATAGAGCATTGTCGTTCATATTGCCACTATGACTTTTTTCTTTCTTGGATGCCATAGTGATTAAATATATAAATCACAAAACTGAAAAAAGAAGTATAGCACAAACACTCGGAAAAGCAATGCTTAACTCGCGCATGCCTAACACCAACTAAAATTTGACACAAAATACCGTTACATTCATTATCCGAATTTTGTTCGTTATCCGAGACAAAATTTTTGCAAAATAAAAGTCCGTTAACCAATTTGGTCGTTAACCAGGACGTTCGTTAACCGGGGTTCCACTGTACCAAACTATAAAATTATTTTTTCATGTCGTTAACCTGAATTATAATAGAAATTGCTGTTTTATCTTTAATGTTAATAGCTTAATTTATCACATGCAGACAATTATATATAACTTTAATAATTTGCATTACTAATTTAAGTTTTTATATTTTATAGTAATGAGAAAACAGACTATTAAGGAATAAATATGAAAATACAATGAAAAATAATCTTTAGAATTAATTATAGTTTTAAAATCTTTGATTACAAATGTTATTCTTACCTTCCATTATAACATGACATGTAGTTTCATCTTCACCTAATTTATTGGTTGCACGACATACATACGTTCCTGCATCTTCCATTGTACAAGATAATATTTCAAGAATAACAACCCCATCTGAGTGAGTCACATTGTAATCATATTTATTGATCTCCCTGCCATCTTTAAACCATTTTATCTAAAATACAAACATGTATTTTTTATTTATTATGAAATAGATAAATAATTAATTAATTTTCTAAAGGTTACCTCTGGTGTAGGTTTTCCAGACAGACAACATAAAAGTTTGACACCAATACCAACTTGAATGACACGAGTACGGAGATGGAATGTGAAACAAGGAGCGGAATCAACTGGTTCTTCCCATAATTTCTTTAGAGGTGGATATCTCCTCCTGTAAAATCATTTGTTTGATATTTTTATTAAAATACAATTAGCTATTTGATTAATCTAAAAGAATATGTAGAATTTTAATTGTAAGTTATTATTTTTGTTTAATAAAAATTCAATTACCTGATTGGTTCATCTAAAACAATATGTGGAATTTCTCTTGGAACACCTAAATTACAAGAAAATAAACATGTATAACATCTATTGTTAACTAACTGGATTAAAATATTAATTAAAACTTACTTTGTACATTAAGGAATACTGGTTCTTCTCTAAATCCATAACTGTTTTCTGCACGAATGATGTATTCACCTCGGTCATCAACTTTGCACCGATTTAGAATAAAGTAATAATCATTCTCTTGGTAACGTTTCATATATTTAACACTTTGGCGTAATTCATATCCATCACGATACCTAAGATTTGAAAAAAAAGTTTCATATTTAGAAAAATTATTTAATACTTCACAGTTAAATTATTTTGATGATTTATAATACCAAGTCACTGTAGCTGGGGCTGCAGCAATAACACGGCAATAGAATTTTGCACTTTGTCCTTCATAAGAGAAAGTACTCTGAGGACGAATCACAAACCTCGGTGCAGCCTGTCTGCGATCTATTTAGAAACATATAAACATTAATAACTTAAATGTTCAAAATTCTAAATTTGAATTAATTATTTTATCTAGTAACTTAATTATTTAAAAAAAAAATAAAATTTTACAGTTAAGATATATAAAAATTTTGTAGTTTGTTTAATTTTTTAAAATTGGATTATTTACCAAAATAAAATTCATGAATGTTATATTTTTCCTCATGAAGTTTACGAAGTGAACTGTAATTGGCAATGTGGCCAATAGGAAGTAAACAGTTGAACCAGTAATCTCCCTGAAAAGTCAGTTTTACAATCAAATAATTATTTAGAATATCTACAAATTAATGATAATATTTTCTTTGTAACAATGAGTTAATACTCACATATTTGGCACGAATGCGATCTCGTATTTTGATATATCTCTTTGACGGTATGGAAGTAGTAGGAGCAGCACTAATATCACCCTAAAAATAAAAATAAAGTAAAATGTTAAATAATATAAATAGTAACAAATATTCATAATCATCAAATATATATTCTTTCTTATCTATACATACCATTAGCCATGGATGAGCTAAGCATTCATGAGCTGTCAAACGCTTTCTATAAAATAAATATATAATTAATTTCTAAATCTTTTTAACTCAAAATAAACAAGAAAAATTTTCCTGCTAACTTACTCCTTATTTCGAGTTAATAATCGACGTATGAAATCTTTAGCTGAGTCTGAAACATTAGCAAATGCTTCATCATCAAAGTCCCAATCACATGCTCTGACATTTTTCAATGTTTCTATATCATTTTCTCCGGCAAATGGTGAGAGACCACTAAGACTAAATATAAAAATGTATAAATTTACATAAAAATCAAAACGATAATTTTAAATAATTATTAAGTATTAAATAAATAACTTACAGCACGTATGCAAGAACACCAATTGCCCACATATCTGTATAGAAACCAACAGGTTCTCGATCAACTATTTCAGGTGCAGCAAATTCAGCAGTTCCCGTAGATATACGTACAACTTCATTAGGATCCAATTTTGTAGCCAAACCAAAATCAATTAATTTGATATTGTTTCCTGTCTTTGTCTGGCACATGATATTTTCAGGCTAAAATGAAAAATATTTAATTAGCAATTCTTAAATTTCATTATTTTAATTTTTTGGGAAAATATTTTAATAGCATCATAAAAAAAGATATTTCAACCTTGATATCTAAATGTATGATGTTCTTCTCATGCATATGTTTTACACCTTCACACAATTGCCTCATGTAATTGATAACTTCAGCTTCTGACATTTTATAATCTTCTGCTGTGATACGTTCAAAAAGTTCTCCACCAGACATACTAAATTTAAAATAAATTTTAAATTATACATTTCATAAAATTATTTATTATTATATTACAAATTTCATTCACAACTTACAATTCATAAATAAGAACCATTTCATCTTCATCTTCAAAGGCATCATGTAAACGAATTAATTTTGGATGATGAAGCATATTCATTATATCAATTTCTTTCCTAATTATAGATTTTTCAACTGGATGAGTTACTGGAATGAATTTTGCAGCAAATATATTGCCTGTGCGTCTCTCTCGGCATCGATGAACAACACCAAAAGCACCTCTAAAAATTTTTATTTTACAAATTTTTATGCNTAATTTGAATTTGTATTATACAGTTTTTAATGTTGTGATGTTATTTTTGCTTTTGTTGCATGTGATCGAATGATTGATAAATCAATTTGAATTTTATGGTTTTTTAATAACAACAATTACAACAATGAAATTTTATATATAAGCAACTTTATTCACATCAGTCAAGTCACACTACAGGTCTACATACAAGTCCACAGTGACATCTGACTGTTTTTCGAAGGCAAACAGGTTTGTAGTTCCCTCAGGTCGTGGGATACAATGATAAATCACAAATTTTTGAATGTTGTAGTTTGATACTTCTAGAAACCTGCTTGTCTCCCAATAAAAGCTTTGTTTTCTTTTTTTTTATTTATTTATCGAGGGGGACAAAAGCTACAAAAAAAAAAATACTCTATAAGTTGGAAAGACATGTACACAACCTTGTAGACAGAATAAAATATTTTAGGCTCTTGGGATAGATAAACATATATTGATAATTGTCCCCCTTATTGGTCATTTAATAAATTTTTGCAAATTTCAAACATAAATGATTGTAACTGCTCCCAAACATATAACATATAATGACAGATTCCAAGATTTTTACAAATTGAGAAACAACAAAAAATGATGTCAGCATGCTCTTGAAATAATTCTTGGGAAATTAGCAAATGTGAGTGGCTGACCATTATTTTATTTTTCATCCTGAAAAATTTTTTAAATAGAATTATTTATTAAATATTTTATGAAATTATACTAATGATTGCATAATTTCATACCTTACATAGACTAGAATTACACTCAGACGTCCCCTTCCGTTAGAACATTTAACGAGAATGTTGCGGCACATTCATCTTTTCCATCAGATACCACTAAGGTGTACTGACCAATATTTGTGTCGATAGCATTAGGTATGGTAAGGGAACATTTTCGACCTTTGTGACTAAACTGATGGTGGGTACTACTTGTATCTATTGGGTTACCATCTTTCATCCAAGTTACTGCAGAAAGAAAATATTTATATATATAGATATAAAATTGATATGGTTGAAATAAAAATTAGTCTAACCTTTCTTAGCATCTTTTTCAGTTTCAGCTGAAAATGTCACTGATTGTCCTTTGTGAATTGTCACAGATTCAGGAAACTTTACAAAACCTGGTCCTTTAACTGGTTCATTGGGTACTATATAACAATACAAAAGTATTGTTTATGGTTTCAATAAAGAATATAATATAATAATTTTCAGTATGCTTGCATTAATAATTAAATGACCACATACCTGTTACAATTAATGTACAACTACTAAATGCATCTCCAACATCATTAAATGCCTCACAAGTATAAATTCCTCCATCTTCAGGAAAAATTTCTCCTATTATTAGTTTATAAGCATCTCCTTCTGTTTTATATTGGAAGTCGTTACTAGGTTTAATTTCTCTGTCATTATGAAGCCAAACCACATCAAATGTGTTTGGACCTGAAATATATAATTTTTCTGTTAAAAAATATTCTAGGGAACAAACAAAAAAAAAATTAAATCAAAAATATTTGACTAACATGTAATTGTGCATTGTAAAGTTACTGAATCCCCATCTTTAACTACCATACTCTTTAGATGTTGTGATATTCTTGGAGGCTTGAATCCAGCTTTTGAAGCAGCTTCCACTGGATCCATTGCTAAATTTTAAATTTATATGATTAATTTTCAAAACTTTTTAAGAATAATAATTAGAATAAATAATAAACATACGTAAAACAGTGAGTTTGCATTTTGTAGCGGCTGTTCCTAAAGAATTTGTTGCTCTGCATACATAATCACCATCGTCTTCTGGGAACACTTCACCAATACTAAGCATAGCCACATTATTTTTATACTTTAGATCTATTATATCTGATGAAAATAATTTCTATAAAAGAATACATAAATAATTAGTTTAAATAATACTGTATTTAATTATAATATTATTTAAAACTAAAAATACCTCTCCATTCTTTAACCATTCTACTTGAGGTTCAGGAATACCAGATACTACACATTTTAAAGTTAAAGATTCACCATCTTTAATTTTAGTGTCTTTCAATTGTTCTTTAAAGGATGGTGCAGTCATTTCAACATCATCTGGTACTAAATCAAAATTTGATAAACGTTTCAATTATATAAAATAATAATATTTTAGTAAATTGTTAATATTAATGTTACATACTTTCTAATTCTTTAGTAGCAGTTCTTGATCTCTGAGGACTTGATGGTTCTTTTTTAGAAGCTCCATATGGTTTTTGTGTTCTTTTAGTTGGAGTTTCTGGCCGAAGAGAGGTTCCGTAGGATCGTGCAGGAGAGGATCTCATAGCTCTAGAAGGAGAGTCTAACCTTAAACTTCTTGCAGGTGATGCTCTTGGAGATGGAGTATATCTTGTACTAAGATAGTCAGATCTACTAGAAATCTTAGTAGAACTATAAGATTGAGAGGATATTTTAGTTGATGAGTATGCAGATGAATAGCTAGACTGTTTGTGAGAAACATAGTCACTAGTGTGACTATATGCATGTGAAGAAGAATAATCTCGACTGTAAGTATCATAGGCATAAGGAGATGGTCTAGGTGAAGGAGATGGCGGAATGGGGCTGACAACAACTGGAGATTTTAAAGATGGTGGTCCTCGCCGATCTAAATAAAAATGGAATAATGTAATATAAATATGCTGTAATAAATTTAATAGTATTGTAAAGTCAGTTTAATTAACTTTGATTACAATTATGAAATCACCAGTGGAGATCCATATAGGACAGAGGAAACAATAATTTTGTACTGGCAATTTGTTCCTCTCCCAATGTATTTTTATTTTGAAAGCAATGAACATTATGATTAATATGAACATCTCCATACCATCCTTGCATTTCCAGCAAACACATTTATTAAGAACACACATGTTTTTGGTACGTTTCATAAACCTGCATTAGGTTTCCAATCTAGTTTCAATTTGATAATGTTCAAAATTGGAATGTTACTCAATAAGTAATGCTATTTAATTTTTTACAATATAGAACATCCCATATTTCTCATGCATTTGTATGAGAAATATGCATTTTTACCATAAGAATTGGTAATATTTTCCTTAATGTTTTTGATATCTTGTAGAAATAATAATCACAAATGCATGAGAAATATGGGATGTTCTGTGGTGTGACGAGTTAATGAGAACCACATTATATAATGTGAAATAGGTTTTTTCTTTCAAGAAAAAGAACACAACTCCAATTTTTGATAAAACCAAAAAGAAAAGGAAACTCAAAGTAAACGTCTTCTAAATATTAACACTGTAGTGAGTAATAAACCGTCACAAACAAACGAATACAACACTTATAAAAAAAAAAGGTTTTTTTTTGTGATGGTTTAGAAAAAAGGAAACTTTAATTAAAGCCCCCCAAAAAAAATAAAATAAAATAAACTACAGGTTGTTTTAGGATGCCAGTAGATTTCTATTCTGACAGATGGAAATAATCGTACAACCGAATAATACTATACATTCAACATCTTGGCTTACACTACACAACCAGGGAGGATTACTAAAACTAATCTTACACTAATATTAAACTATCACGAGTACAACTAACAAAAAGAAATTAAAACTAATATTAAGCTAAAGTAGGAGAATAAGGGACAGGAAAGGAAGTGTAGGAAATTGGAAAGAGGTACCCAGTATTGGTCTTTGAGGTCTTCGAAATTGGTCTCTTTTATAATGTCCTTAGCGAGGGTCATACAAAAATAAAAAAGGGAATTCTTTCTCTCCTAGTTCAATCACTTTTCAGCGATTTGGATTCAATAGTTCACAGTCAAATATCCTGAATCTATCACAAATATCCTTAGTCCATCTCTGAAACTCTTTGTCCCTTCTGTACGCTGCCAAAAATGCACCAGAAACTTGTCTCATCACCTTCTCACTTTCCGAATTCCATCTACCCTCTCCTTTCGTATCCATCCCCTAAGGGGTTGCACACCCTTTCTTTGTTCTAGGGGATTTTTTATGACAAAATAAGGAAAAGAATTTCGAAAAGGAACATTCCAGAGAAGAAAAACAATAGAACAAAGAAAAAGGAAGGGAAGAATAGAACATGGAAGTAATAATAAAACTATAAAATAAAAATAAAATATATATACAAATGTATGGCGTACAGCCACAATAAATAATACACTATGGATTATCACGTATTTCAAATATACAATAATGGTATCTATTTATTTCCAGTCAACTTAAATTACAGATCTCAAAACCATCCATAATATTCTACATTACCTTTTTAAAATACAGAATTTTAACCGTTTATTTCTCCTCATTAACAATGTTTGACGTATAGATCTAATTACATGTGCGAGTCCCGAAACTGGCCAGTTCACAATCTGTTTGAATCGTCTTATGTTGCTAATTAAAATTAACTTAAATTAAACTAAAACTAATGTTACTTAGGTTAGAGAAAGAAGATAGGAAGATTATGTTAGAAGGGGATCACTTTTCTTTGTCTAGTGAGTTGGGCAATTTGCGATGTCTATCACAGTTAATTGAGAGGATACAACCTGACCATGTGGACACCTTTCAATGAGATGAAATATCCATCTACAAATCTTCCTTTATATCTCGATAGTACCAGTTCTTTAACACAACTTCTCTGAATCTCTGTTGACTGAGTCTCCCTTGGGTTCCTTCCTCGTCGCCCTGCATCTCACTCCTTACCCCTTTCTTTTTCGACCCTCTCCCAACAAAAATCCTCTTACTCTATGACATAGGTTAAAAACCCCTTCAAGCCCAAAACTTGTCAGAAAATGCACATAGGTTGGGAGAGTTGAACAAGGAAAAATAGTGCGGGTTAATTATGTAGATAAAGAAATTACGGATAACTTAAAAGATTAATAAGATATATACATGATGGGATACACCACAGTTCTATATTGTAAAAAATTAAATAGCATTACTTATCGAGTAACATTCCAATTTTGAACATTATCAAATTGAAGCTAGATTGGAAACCTAATGCAGGTTTATGAAACATGCCATAAACATTTGTGTTCTTAATAAATGTGTTTGCTGGAAACGTAAGAATGGTGTGGAGATTTTCATATTTTTATTTTATACTATACAACAAAAATTGGAAGTAGAAACAAATACTGTACACAAGAGGTACACCTTATATTTATATATTCATTCAAAACCTGACAATGAGAAATTTTTCTTATTCATTGTCATTGACAGGATGATCAAGAAGGGAAGCAGGAAATTTTTCCCAGAGAAAACTTAGGGTCTGTAGTGATTCCTATCTTCATAAATTAATGTTATTTTTATTAACAGAAAAATAAAATATTTAAAATTGCTTTTTATTAAGAAAGGAAATATTCCACATACCAATATTTCATTTAGACAAAAAAAAAAAAAAAAAAAAAGAAAAGAAAGCTGCTCTATTCCTGTGCCACTTTCAAGCTCAAATAAATTAGCCAACCAATGTAAAAAATAATTTATCACCTTATTTTATTATTTATATTAATATGACTTCAATGTATTTAGTACTGTGGTACCTCAGGATACGAACGCCCCAGCATACGAAATTTTCAGGATACGACATGAAATTCCAACATGTTTTTACTCCACGATACGAACAAAAACTCACCATACGACGTTACATTAGTTTGCAGCACCATTTTTTATTCACTTCTGTTCATTGGTCTCAGTTTGCGTGTTTGCTTCATCGTGGAAGGATCTCGCTCGATAAAGGAAATCTTGTGGTATTATCAGAAAGTGACTGATTTTATTGAAAACAAACATCCCAAAAAGGTTCACACTGGCCGTATTTGCTGCTCGGAGTAATGACATTTACCAAAGTCATTTTAGAAACGTTTTAAAAAGTAAGCAAAGCCAAACCTCTTTGGATAGATATTGTATGAAACGACCTCTATCCAGTGAAAGTGCTGGTGGAAGTGAAGGAAAGAAAGCAAAAAGCAGTGAATAAAAAAAAAAAAAAAACAGTAGGGGTTGATTTATGTAGATATTAATNATTTTTTTTATCTTTTCTACGTTAAATTATTGTTACATTATGTTATGTAAGTTAAGTTTTAGTATCATTTCCCTTCTCCCTCTCTTCCACCACCAATTTACACCTCCACCGTCGTTTATCCTTGAAGGTAAAGTACAAATAAAACTATATTTTTTAAAATCAATTATTATTCTATTATGGTAATTTATACATTTACAACTACAAAACGCATTTTTCAGTGTTTTCCTTACTATAGTTATTTTTTTAATGTACTACTTAGCTTTAATTTGAGTGTGTTTTTCGTGTTGGATGAATTATTTGGTTTTGCATGTAATCGTATGAGGAAAAATGATTCACCTTATGACATTTTCATGATATCTCTCAGTTTCGGAACGGATTAATTTTGTATCCTGAGGTACCACTGTATAGTTATTTTTTACATTGGTTGGCTAATTTATTTTTCATTTTAAGTTTGAATTTATAATGTTTGAAAGTTCCATTTTAACACAATTTTCAAATTCGTTCGGTAGCCAGTCACCGATGATGGCCTATTCCATTAGGTTGAAAACGTTTGTGATTTAATAAATATTCTCAGCATTATAAGGTGTTAGATGTTTTATTAAGTATTTGTTTTATAATATAGGTCAGAGTTGCTCTCCCAAAACCTGCATTACAACTAAAATTGGTAATATTTTCCTTAATGTTTTTGATATCTTGTAGAAATAAATAAATTTTAGAAAATACAGTTTGCACAATACATAAATAGGCATTAAGCATTTTAATTGTTAAATTGATCACTTTCCTGAAACCTGCAGATTCACAGTTGCTCACTACTATGCAACAAGCGAACAAACTCATGCCCTGCAAAGAATCTTCTTTATTTGCCACTTTATTCTGACTTAATATTGAACACAATAAAGTTTATCACTCAATAATTAGATGAATAAATAGTTGATAGAGAATTAATAAATTTAAAAATAACTATAAAATTGAATAAAATTTAATGATGAGATTTGCCAAGTGTCTGAATAAATACAATAATTGATTTGTGTTCGAATTACTAAAAATTACTGGCACGGTTTCAAAAATACAGTGGAACCCCGGTTAACAAACTTAATCCATTCCGCGACTCTGTTCGTTAACTGAAGCAATTTTTCCCACAGAAATTAATGCTAATGCAATTAATCTGTTCTAGTCTCCAAAATTTTTGTGATTTTATTTGTAATATACAGTAGATTTTCTTTGATGAAAATGTAGGAAAATGTAGTATCTATCATTACAGCAACAAACATGTAAACTTTGTTTAATAAACTAGCACTGTACATACCTTCATTTGTTGTAGTTGGTGGCAGAAAAGTGGAGATATACGAACCTTAATGCTTAGAAGGGGAATCGCCTCCAAAAAATAATGGGTAGCACTTCATTGGAAGATTCTTCAAGTCGAAGTCTCTTTTGGTAGGAAAGCCCACCAGTGGCTAAACATTCTCCGTACCCTAAACACGGGGAGTTCGTTCGTGGGTTCGCATTTTGCTCAGACGGGCTGGCCACGTGGAGTTTTCTGGGTTTTCTCCAGTCTGTAACGCCTAAATAGGGGCCAGTTTCCCTTAAAAACACCTCTTAGAAGGCATTCCCCCTAGGCAGATTGCCCAAGTGTTGCGTTGCCATAACTTAACAAACAAACAAACAAACTCTTTCCGTAAGGAACAAGAAATTGATCTAAAGTTGATTGTCTTACTCTTTTAATCAAAATTTTTCTCAAATGCGATAGAGCATTGTCGTTCATATTGCCACTATGACTTTTTTCTTTCTTGGATGCCATAGTGATTAAATATATAAATCACAAAACTGAAAAAAGAAGTATAGCACAAACACTCGGAAAAGCAATGCTTAACTCGCGCATGCCTAACACCAACTAAAATTTGACACAAAATACCGTTACATTCATTATCCGAATTTTGTTCGTTATCCGAGACAAAATTTTTGCAAAATAAAAGTCCGTTAACCAATTTGGTCGTTAACCAGGACGTTCGTTAACCGGGGTTCCACTGTACCAAACTATAAAATTATTTTTTCATGTCGTTAACCTGAATTATAATAGAAATTGCTGTTTTATCTTTAATGTTAATAGCTTAATTTATCACATGCAGACAATTATATATAACTTTAATAATTTGCATTACTAATTTAAGTTTTTATATTTTATAGTAATGAGAAAACAGACTATTAAGGAATAAATATGAAAATACAATGAAAAATAATCTTTAGAATTAATTATAGTTTTAAAATCTTTGATTACAAATGTTATTCTTACCTTCCATTATAACATGACATGTAGTTTCATCTTCACCTAATTTATTGGTTGCACGACATACATACGTTCCTGCATCTTCCATTGTACAAGATAATATTTCAAGAATAACAACCCCATCTGAGTGAGTCACATTGTAATCATATTTATTGATCTCCCTGCCATCTTTAAACCATTTTATCTAAAATACAAACATGTATTTTTTATTTATTATGAAATAGATAAATAATTAATTAATTTTCTAAAGGTTACCTCTGGTGTAGGTTTTCCAGACAGACAACATAAAAGTTTGACACCAATACCAACTTGAATGACACGAGTACGGAGATGGAATGTGAAACAAGGAGCGGAATCAACTGGTTCTTCCCATAATTTCTTTAGAGGTGGATATCTCCTCCTGTAAAATCATTTGTTTGATATTTTTATTAAAATACAATTAGCTATTTGATTAATCTAAAAGAATATGTAGAATTTTAATTGTAAGTTATTATTTTTGTTTAATAAAAATTCAATTACCTGATTGGTTCATCTAAAACAATATGTGGAATTTCTCTTGGAACACCTAAATTACAAGAAAATAAACATGTATAACATCTATTGTTAACTAACTGGATTAAAATATTAATTAAAACTTACTTTGTACATTAAGGAATACTGGTTCTTCTCTAAATCCATAACTGTTTTCTGCACGAATGATGTATTCACCTCGGTCATCAACTTTGCACCGATTTAGAATAAAGTAATAATCATTCTCTTGGTAACGTTTCATATATTTAACACTTTGGCGTAATTCATATCCATCACGATACCTAAGATTTGAAAAAAAAGTTTCATATTTAGAAAAATTATTTAATACTTCACAGTTAAATTATTTTGATGATTTATAATACCAAGTCACTGTAGCTGGGGCTGCAGCAATAACACGGCAATAGAATTTTGCACTTTGTCCTTCATAAGAGAAAGTACTCTGAGGACGAATCACAAACCTCGGTGCAGCCTGTCTGCGATCTATTTAGAAACATATAAACATTAATAACTTAAATGTTCAAAATTCTAAATTTGAATTAATTATTTTATCTAGTAACTTAATTATTTAAAAAAAAAATAAAATTTTACAGTTAAGATATATAAAAATTTTGTAGTTTGTTTAATTTTTTAAAATTGGATTATTTACCAAAATAAAATTCATGAATGTTATATTTTTCCTCATGAAGTTTACGAAGTGAACTGTAATTGGCAATGTGGCCAATAGGAAGTAAACAGTTGAACCAGTAATCTCCCTGAAAAGTCAGTTTTACAATCAAATAATTATTTAGAATATCTACAAATTAATGATAATATTTTCTTTGTAACAATGAGTTAATACTCACATATTTGGCACGAATGCGATCTCGTATTTTGATATATCTCTTTGACGGTATGGAAGTAGTAGGAGCAGCACTAATATCACCCTAAAAATAAAAATAAAGTAAAATGTTAAATAATATAAATAGTAACAAATATTCATAATCATCAAATATATATTCTTTCTTATCTATACATACCATTAGCCATGGATGAGCTAAGCATTCATGAGCTGTCAAACGCTTTCTATAAAATAAATATATAATTAATTTCTAAATCTTTTTAACTCAAAATAAACAAGAAAAATTTTCCTGCTAACTTACTCCTTATTTCGAGTTAATAATCGACGTATGAAATCTTTAGCTGAGTCTGAAACATTAGCAAATGCTTCATCATCAAAGTCCCAATCACATGCTCTGACATTTTTCAATGTTTCTATATCATTTTCTCCGGCAAATGGTGAGAGACCACTAAGACTAAATATAAAAATGTATAAATTTACATAAAAATCAAAACGATAATTTTAAATAATTATTAAGTATTAAATAAATAACTTACAGCACGTATGCAAGAACACCAATTGCCCACATATCTGTATAGAAACCAACAGGTTCTCGATCAACTATTTCAGGTGCAGCAAATTCAGCAGTTCCCGTAGATATACGTACAACTTCATTAGGATCCAATTTTGTAGCCAAACCAAAATCAATTAATTTGATATTGTTTCCTGTCTTTGTCTGGCACATGATATTTTCAGGCTAAAATGAAAAATATTTAATTAGCAATTCTTAAATTTCATTATTTTAATTTTTTGGGAAAATATTTTAATAGCATCATAAAAAAAGATATTTCAACCTTGATATCTAAATGTATGATGTTCTTCTCATGCATATGTTTTACACCTTCACACAATTGCCTCATGTAATTGATAACTTCAGCTTCTGACATTTTATAATCTTCTGCTGTGATACGTTCAAAAAGTTCTCCACCAGACATACTAAATTTAAAATAAATTTTAAATTATACATTTCATAAAATTATTTATTATTATATTACAAATTTCATTCACAACTTACAATTCATAAATAAGAACCATTTCATCTTCATCTTCAAAGGCATCATGTAAACGAATTAATTTTGGATGATGAAGCATATTCATTATATCAATTTCTTTCCTAATTATAGATTTTTCAACTGGATGAGTTACTGGAATGAATTTTGCAGCAAATATATTGCCTGTGCGTCTCTCTCGGCATCGATGAACAACACCAAAAGCACCTCTAAAAATTTTTATTTTACAAATTTTTATGCGTTAAATTTTTGCTATAAAAATATAAAATGTGAATATACTATATTAAATAAATAAAACCATTAAACATACGTTCCAATTTCTTCCAAAATGTCATAGTAATCATAAACACTAGACGTCTTAACATCAACAGGTTGCGGTATGTATTTTTCATTAATATCAAACACTAAAATGTAAAATATTAAATAATTTTTATTTTTAGAAGTTTTTAAAAATTTTTGAAAGTTGGATATTTACCATATTGATCATAATTTGATACTTTTCCCTCTGATCGTCCACGAATGCGGCGTCCTTGAGAATCCACTAAAAATTTGATAAATATTAAATAAATTAATATTTTTAACATAAGTTCACTTTATTTTATATTCATTTTTTTAATACTTACATGTATAATTTTTCCTTTTTATCCTTTCTTTAGTTGATGCTGTAAAAGTTAACAGTTTATTATGTTAGGAATTATTTAATTAAAGATATAAAATTGATTATAAAGAGTTTAGTCTTTATAATCAATTTTAAATCTTTAATTAATGTAAAAAGATCATACGTTTGGTTGTGACTATCTGAGTGGCTTCGCTGGGTTCACTTCTTCCATAAATATTTTCAGCATAGATCCTAAACTGATAGTCTTTTCCAGGATTCAATCCAGTAACAAGATGATGAAGGAATCTAAAAAATATAATTTATTTAATATTTAGATAATTAATTTATATAAAGGTACAAGTGCACAAGTAAAATTAAAATACAAATTAATAATAAATAACATACTTGCAATTTGGGTAAGTTTTATGAATAAATGTTGCAAATATATAATTAGATAAAACAAAATTATATTCTTTTATCAAATATATAGAAGTTTTCTTAAAAAGCATAAAAATAAATTGATCTAATTTCATATATATACTGAACATTAGAAACACCTGCCTAATAATAGATTAGTCCAACTTTCTGGGCAATCATGGCTTGCAAATCCTAGGCATGGACTCTACATATGCCGAACATCCTCTATTCTTAACTGGATTCATGCCTGCTCAAGCAGTTTTGTCAGTTGGTGCACACTTCACAGAGGAGTAGATAACCTCATCATATGTTCCAACATATCTCAAACCTGTACAATAGCATTTTATATGTTCCAACATCATATGTTCCAACATATCTCAAACCTGTCCAATAGCATTTCATATGTTCCAACATCATATGTTCCAACATATCTCAAACCTGTTCAATAGCATTTCAGTCTGGTGCTTTTGGGAGTCAGTCTGGTGTCTTGTTTGGAATTTATTGTCGTGTTCCTTCAACTAATTCCTGGATGAGCTTCACCTGATGTCGCAGTGCATCATCATGTTGTGTTGTCATGTTGAAACATGGCAACATTCTCATGAAACACTGCCTGGAGATACAAATACAGATGATCACTTAACAGGTCCCTGTATTGTTCACCATTAATGAATTGTGGAATGATAACCAATAGCCCTAGACCTTGCCAAGAGAATGCTCCCTAAACTATTGTGGTGGTACACCAATATATTTTTGTTATATTTTTATATATATGTATATATATATAATTTTCTTAAAACATAGTTTTCTACCTTACGAAATTTAAATTATTTATATAACTCGTTATTAAATCTATTAAATTTAAAGTAAGTTTGAATGAAATTAATGCATGCTAGTTTGTTTACAGTAACAAATAGAGAAACAACTACTTAAATTGANAAAATTCAATTACCTGATTGGTTCATCTAAAACAATATGTGGAATTTCTCTTGGAACACCTAAATTACAAGAAAATAAACATGTATAACATCTATTGTTAACTAACTGGATTAAAATATTAATTAAAACTTACTTTGTACATTAAGGAATACTGGTTCTTCTCTAAATCCATAACTGTTTTCTGCACGAATGATGTATTCACCTCGGTCATCAACTTTGCACCGATTTAGAATAAAGTAATAATCATTCTCTTGGTAACGTTTCATATATTTAACACTTTGGCGTAATTCATATCCATCACGATACCTAAGATTTGAAAAAAAAGTTTCATATTTAGAAAAATTATTTAATACTTCACAGTTAAATTATTTTGATGATTTATAATACCAAGTCACTGTAGCTGGGGCTGCAGCAATAACACGGCAATAGAATTTTGCACTTTGTCCTTCATAAGAGAAAGTACTCTGAGGACGAATCACAAACCTCGGTGCAGCCTGTCTGCGATCTATTTAGAAACATATAAACATTAATAACTTAAATGTTCAAAATTCTAAATTTGAATTAATTATTTTATCTAGTAACTTAAAAATCTTTGATTACAAATGTTATTCTTACCTTCCATTATAACATGACATGTAGTTTCATCTTCACCTAATTTATTGGTTGCACTTGAAGGTAAAGTACAAATAAAACTATATTTTTTAAAATCAATTATTATTCTATTATGGTAATTTATACATTTACAACTACAAAACGCATTTTTCAGTGTTTTCCTTACTATAGTTATTTTTTTAATGTACTACTTAGCTTTAATTTGAGTGTGTTTTTCGTGTTGGAACGAATTATTTGGTTTTACATGTAATCGTATGGGG